CCCCCCCCCCCCCTTGATGCGAGTCCTTCGCGACGGCACTGGTCCACGCGTTACGTTGCCCCGGGTATTCTACGGAACAAACAACTGCATCTATAGGGATATTCTGAACCACCTAAATGACTAAATTTAAAAGCTCAGTAAGTGGGGAACTCAATGCATTTGCATGGGCTGTAGCTTAAATACGATATAAATTACCAGGAAACAGAGAAACTGCAGAGCAACGTGAAATGCGAGAAAAATCTGACTCGAGTATCAGTTTCCGGCCATTGTTTCTTGTCCCCAAAAAAGATTTGACCATGTTAAGTTCACTTGTCCCCTATGATTTTTCGGCTTTGTTCCCTAAAACCCCTCGGGTCGGGAGACCCTCGACTATGTATGATACGGACTTAGTTAAGACCGATTTACACGCCTTTAGCCCAATTAAACTGTCGCATGCAACCTGCTTGCAACTTCAGTTGCACTGTATAAATCAAGCATACCGAACTCATCAACCCCGTACCCGCGGCCAAGGTTCTCTGAACCCTGGGTACGAGGTTGACAACTCATCTACGACAACGTAAGCGAGCTGTGTGCTTGATTTGCACAGTACAACTCAAATTGTGAGCAGGTTGCATGCGACAGTTTTATGCAAAAGTTTGTAGTTTAAATCGACCTTTACGATACTCTGATCGGCCGGATGGTTGCTATAATCAAAGACAGCTAAGTGCTTAGCAACTAAATTAAATGGTTGCATGCTTATTTATGCGGTCAAAACTATAAAGAGTGCCGATGAGTGCAGGTTTTAAATTAAATCTTATTAAAGCAGGTGGAATCAAAACATTGGTCCATGTTGTTATGAATACAAATATTTCCAACTTTGTTTTGCATCGTACATTATACCAAAGATTCGTAGTTTATCTCCCCAGTATACGTACTAAACCAAGGTTATAGCAAATTTTCTGACCAATAAAGTATAGTGCTGGTTTGTGTTTTCACAAATATCGCGTACTTTCTAGCGCAATGGGGAGCATTGAACCTATACATGATTGAACTGATTTTATTTGTATATCTGCGGATGAGAGAACATTTTCACAGAGGATCAAGCTGCTGTTATACACACGTAAAAACTCACAAGTTGTTACAAGTCTGCAAACAAGTTGTTACAAATCTATTCACAAGTTGTCGACAAGTTGTGTTCGCACTGCTTGTTCCCAATTGTTGGAACAAGCTTGGACCAAGCAGTTAACAATTTGTAACAAGCTTGATGGCATTATCAGACTTGTTACAAGGTTGTTCTAACAAGTCTGATTCAGTCATGATATAACAAGAATGTTACAAGGTTGTCGACACAAGGTTGTAACAATATTGTTGTATCATGACTGTATCGGACTTGTTGGAATAACCTTGCAACAAGTCTGATAATATCAACACGGCTGTTACAAATTGGTAACAGCTTGTTACATACTTGTTGACAACTTGTTGACAACTCGGTGACAGCTTGTTGGCAGACTTGCTACAAAATGTGAGATTTCTGCGTGTGTAATAGAGAAGCATGCACGTAGGACGTTATCCATTCATTACGTTAACATTTATTAATTATTACACTGATTCTAACCTATCTTAAAGATGGACTGCCTCAAATCAACCCAATTAAAGTTACCACGGCAACCGAGGGGACCTTCTGCTCCATAAGATGTCTTGATTACCCAGGATGCAATTCATTTGCATTCCTAAACTATACATCAAGCGAGAATTGTTTGCTAAGCAGCAGTGTTGATGGCGCGTCAGTGAGTGGAGCTATAGTGGTATGGTCGAAATTTATAAGAAGGCTGTGGCAGAAGTTGCTAAGGTGAGCTTGCGTTATCGTTTTTGTAACTTCTGGTAAGCCCCCCCCCCCCCCCCCCCTAAATGAGCAAGACATGTTTTTGTACCGGTGCGGTGAACAAGCGCGACGCTAGCGCTCACCCTGAAAAAATTGAAAATTTGAGGCTCGCTCGCAAATGTAATTTCCTGAACTTTATGACACCGAATTGAAGAAGTATGGGGAACAAAAATGCTACAAAAAATTGCGTCATAATTGGTTTTGGTGCTTTGCAGTTGGATAACTTGGCGGGGGCCAAAATCGCCAGCAAATTAGCATGGTTGAAATACTTGGCAATGCAAAAACCTCGCTCTTTTCAAAGACATATACGATGTGATCTACTTTCAGGACGGCTTAGCCCCCTGTGAAAATTTTACGGGTGCAGAAGTCAGCCCAGTTTAAATTCACTTAAGTTAAGGAATATTTATTAACCACAATGTCGGTAATTTCGTTCACTTTGTCTCAAATAAACGCCGCATCCGAAGAGTGCCGTGGTGCTAAGATTCTAATATATATTTACGGTACGATTTAGTCTCCTTCGCACGCGTTTTTCAAATAACTCAGAACGTATACGCTCCCCATGTAAGACTACGTTCATACGAGACGGACGAATTCGGAACTGCATGGAACTTCGCCCGAAGTGGAGAACGTCTTGTTAGGAATAATTATGTAATTGTTTTTCTTGAAGATTACAAGTTTATTTCTGTTTCAATATCTACTTACCGTAGGGATGCGATCCAAACCCCTGCCTCAAAGGAGGGACCTGCCTGGACACATGTGAGGAGCCATTTTATCACTGCGTTTGTCCGGAAGAAACAACAGGAGATGACTGCACGCCTTTTCAGTAAGTGCTTGATTCTCATTTCAGTAGACTAATGGTGGATTATGTTAAATGCATGCAACTTACAATCGAGGGACTCAGATTTGATTTCCGAATTAATAATCAGATGCGATTTAATCAGATGCGTACAAAGCAAGTGAGAGGTAGCGGAGTGGAAGTCAATTTTGAACTTCTCTAACATTACAACACCATCATTCATTATACTGACCAACACAAACACTTACGCATGTATTCTAAAAGCACACTCACACTCAATGAGTGGAGGTTCAATCTGAGCTTCCCTTGAGCGTCAATGCTGTTTTTGAATAGCTGGAGAGTTACGCCCATATTCTAAAAGCTCACTCACACTCACACTCATTGAGTGTAGGTTCAATCTGAGCTTCTCTTGAGTGTTAATGCTGTTTCTGAATAGCTAGAGGGCTAGTGTCATAACTTACTTGGTGACTACTCGCCCTCCAGTTATTCAGCGACAGCATTGGCATTCAAGAGAAGCTCAGATTGAACCTACACTCATTGAGTGCGAGTGTGAGCGAGCTTTTAGAATACGGGCGTTATAGTGTCGTACCATACTATGTGACTACTGACTACTCACCCTCCAGCTATTCGGCAAAAACAGCATTGACACTGTCAATGCTGTTTTTGCCGAATAGCTGGAGGGTGAGTAGTCACATTTGACACTCAAGGAAAGCTCAGATTGAACCTCCACTCGTTGAGTACTAGTGTGAGTGAGCTTTTAAATTACAGACGTTAGCCACTCCGAGAACAAGGTTGAGCATCGTCTACCTGTCCCACAACTAAACATGCGACACCAACAATGAATCAGAAAAACAATAGCAGTTAACAATGACAAGTGTCAATAACAACAAAAACAACAAATTAAAAACAACAACAGCATCAAGAACAATAACAACAACTATATTTAACAAATATATTTCAATACTTTAGCACCTTTCTATACGAAGTTTACACATCTTGGTAAAACTGGGTGCACTGGACCAACAACAATAGGAGCTAACTACGATGGCCAAACACACAAGGATCTGACCACCGTACAAAACGGAATACAATATTTTACAGTTCCCTATACAGGAGTATACACAATCACTGCCGTTGGGGCTGCAGGAGGACAAGATAAAAGCAGCAGTTCTTACATAGGGAGGGGTGCAAGAGTGGGTGGAAACTTCAACCTAGAAAAGGGGCAGGTTTTAAAAATACTGGTTGGTCAAGTAGGCAAAAATAACAGTCCGCAATCAAGATCTGGAGGTGGTGGTGGATCATTTGTGGTTACCTCTTCAGACGTACCGTTGATTATTGGAGGTGGGGGAGGCGGTATAGCGTCAGTAACCCAGATGTATAGTAATGCAGATGGCAATACAGGAACGGCGGGAAAAACTAACGGCGGTCCTGCTGGCAGTAGTAGTTGGAGTGGTGGATCGGGTGGGTATGGGGCAACCGAGGCAGATAGTAGTAATTCAGGTAATGTATTTCATAACCTGCGTGGCAGGCCCTCAGTTTTATGGGGGGCCTGATTTGCAACGGGCAGGCTGAGGACCTGCCACGCAGGCTATGTATTTGACAACACACGTTAAAAAAGGCACACAGTCGCTCTTTGAGCGATGTGATTTTACGCCGTCGCGACAATATAACAACAATGTAATTTGATATTATTTACCATGTTTGGGACCAAAATTCAAGTTACTTCCATAAATATATCTAAATTGAATATCCAGTGTAAATTTAGCCAACTTTTTTTGCATAAAGGCATATATTATCGGCAGTACTTTTGTACAAACTTGAAAAAATCACATTGCTCAGCAGGTGACGTTGTGTCTTTATTCTTTAAAACTCGCGACTTGCAGTAACCGGTACCATGCAACAGATCTGTTACAAGGTTGTGTTCACTGTGAATCAATCATGGACAGGGGCAAACTGAGCTGTAGGGTAGGCGGACGCGGACTGAGAACCAGAAAACTGTAGGCCCATGAATTGCTCAGATTCAAAATGTCGCGAAAATATCGACTTGGCGCGCTGGAGTTTAGAAATCAAAATTGAATGACACGCAATGCTCGTGTGAAAGATCGTTCTCGCAGTGAAGTTGGTGACAACATGCATGTTGGACTAAATTACGTGCGGAAATTGGTACCATTTTCGGCTCAAAAATGGTAACAATTTCCGAACGTAATACAAACATATACAAAATATGCAAACTTGGCAAGCCTATATTTTCCGGATTTTACAACATTTCGTAACCAAATTTTGCCATTTTACTAATTTTAATAAGTTCTTTACGGGAATTTATTTTTTTTGCCTAGATCAAAAATTAGTCTAACATGCAAGTTGTCTATTAAGACAAGACTAAGATCTTCGCCAAAACAAGAAAATCGTGAACAATTGATGATCATTGCTATTGGAAAGGATATTGAGTTGCATCTAAAGCGGAACATTCAATAAAAACAGATTATTGATTATGGCTAGTTTGCCATCTAAAACTAAACGGACGTGTGTGACGTGAATCATTAATCGCAATATGTTCAGAGATCTTTACTTTACATACTAAATTTCGATACCAAATCCTCTATATAATTTTTTATTTATACACTCGCAAATGGGCCCCGATTGTATTCCTGATCGAGGCCCATGACAGAAGTTGTCAGTTCACCCCTGACTGATCTACGCAAGCTAAAACTAGTTAGAAATAGCTGTAACCAAGCGAGTAAGGACAATTCCTAATTTGTTGAAGTTCAGTGTTGATACAAGAGGAACTGGAGTACATGAAGAAAACCTGTGGTATTTATTATGAGTCAAATCGAAATAAGTAAGTGGGCTTTGCTAGGCATGTTTGAATACTTGCAACTGAGAGCTAAGTTGAATAACCAAGAACAGAGCTCAAGCTGATCGAGTCGAATGCTTTTTGAGAAAATGTCTGATATACACATCTCAGTGGAAACGTCGGATTAAACCTACGACTTTCGGTACAGCATTGATTGACGGCGAGAATCGGACCCACGATCTCAAAGGTGAATGGCGATTGCACCACCGAAGCCCCACAAAAGCACTTTCAGTCTAGCACCAAACTGGGACATTATAAATTACCACTGTGTCACCCCCAACCGTGGCAATATTTATTTATTTGTTTGTTTAGCTTTGCCAACTAGGGCAGGGTCACCACAGCAGCATATGCCAGTTACTGTGGGCCCATTTACCTAACCCACCCTATCGGCTTTCCCTGTTGGAGGAAACCGGAGTACTCGGAGGGAACCCACGACTTTCGGCAGAGCGTTGACTTTTACTCTTCCCACATGAGGACTGGGTTCGAGTCACATTGAGAAGTTCTCACTGAGGCTTGAACCTGCGACCTTAGAGGTTAAAGGCAAGTGCGCTAACCACTTGGCCACCGAAGCCCCATATACTTCATTAGACGTTTTTATGTATGTTTAAGGTGGTGGCGGTGGAGGTTTTTACAGCAACGGACGAAGTGGAACCAACCATGGAGGGTCATTTGGATTTGGAGGGCAAGGGGGTTTCGGCTTCATACAAGGTTTGCAAAGCAAAATTATTGGTAATTTTTGTGTGATTCCAACGTTTTTTCCAGTACGTTTCTTCGCACCTTCACACCACTGTAATGTGTTCTACATATCTTTATTCGTAGTCATACATAAGGAACATAATTATACTTGCAAGACAAGACCATGCGTTCCTTCCCCTAGATTCCTTATTCCTTAAATAAAAATAAAATAAATATTCCCAAGACCATGTGGCCTGTCCACGTGACCTTTATCACCAACCATGTACAACTAGCAGTGTACTAGGATTATTTGCCCAATCAAAAGCCCTAAAAAGAAGTTACCTATCACTCCTTGCTCGCTTAGAGTTTAAGGTTTGAGATTTTCAAAGGCCAACCTTTTTGAATTATAGCTGTATTACTATATAAAGTTAAATTAAAGTTCTAATTATTTATTTAGTTTATTTAGTGTCAATTACACAGAATGTGGTCGCCCACCCGCGCAGGCCACACGTTCGACAACTGAGCATATCAAATCCTTAGTACATAATGATTGAGTTTTCCAGTGAATTTCCCTAACCTAAGTAAATACCAGGTTAAATACCCTACCCTCAAGCGCGCTAACTGGGACAGTTTTCTTCGTGCATACTTTTCGCATCATCTGTTAAACAGAGGATCTGTTTTGAAACGTCCACAAAATCCTCTGTTTCGAAACGTCCAAATGAATCATACGAAAGTTTGAAAAGTGCGTTTTGTATACGGATGCCCAATGGAAATACAAGTTTGTGACACCCAAAGTAAAAAAGGCCACCCATTCTATGACTCGCGTGCCCAAGGCCAAAGATTTGGCACAAGCAATAACCGATGTTATTTATGTGACATTTCAGGTGGTGATGGTGGAAGATCGTACACAGGTAATGGAGGAGGAGGCTTTGGAGGAGGCGGTGGTGCCTATGGTAGTGGGGGGGAGCTGGAGGAGGGGGTGGTTATTCCGGAGGAGCATCAGGAGATAATTATTCCAATGCATGTGGTGGAGGAGGTGGTTCATTCAACGGTGCATTTCAAAATAAATTTTCCAGCCAAGGATACAACAGTGGCAATGGCTTTGTTCAAATAAACCGAATTAATGTCTGAATTATCCAACTTTCCCTTGCACAAATAAAATTTCCGAAAATGCTGTATTTGAATCTTCGAAGCAAAATATACTTTACAGTCAAGGATAAAACCACAGTTGATGGTAATATGATAGTCTGGAAACTAAACAGAAGTCATTGTGTTATGTTTTTGTCGGAGTTTATGTTAATTTGTGCACGGTCACGTGATTGAGCTCATTGTATTTTCGTATAATGAAGTGATTCATGTCGAATCCCTAGGGATGCGGCTGAGATGAAACATGCAACCATGATGAGTAATATTTAATGAAGTTACCAGAAAGGATTTGTACGGTGAGGTACAGTTCATCATCAAACAAAGGCTCGTTCTACTTTGTAGCTTTAAATTTTTCCGGGCTTCCAGACCATCATATCTATGGTAAAAGTAAAACGACGGTCATGGATGGACATGTTACAATAAATCGAATTTACGTATACTGATAAACGTTAGTTTAGTGTTAACTTATCTTTTTATCTAACACGAACTTTCCAAAGTAAAATATCTCTGTCATTAGCCAGAGTAAAATACTTTGGAATAACTGATAATGTCGAGATTTAAGCAAAACGGTCAGTTGGGCAGAAAGTCGGGCTGCTGGTATTATATAAACAGATCTAGTTTGCCTCATTTTAATACAATGACATTTTATACTAACATTCAAACATTTTATTATAAATATTTGATTGCATTAATTTTTATTCTAATTTGCAAATTGTATCAAGCGTATACATATAATTGAATTGGTTGATCTTTTCAAAGTCAAAACCCACAACCGAAAAACCTTCAAAGGCCAGGGTGAAACGTCGAACTTTTCATGTGCCGAACCTAACGCAAATGAAGTGAAACAAAGAACTTAGCTCATTAACATTAGGTTCGGCACATGAAAAGTTCGACGTTTGTCCCTGGCCATACTTAAGCGCAAAAGCACAAGAAATGTACACACTGGCGAAGGAATAAATGGGACTGGGGGGGGGGGGGCTTAGTCCCCCTAAAAATTAATAAGGCGTGAATGGATTTCCTATATATTTTCATTTTGTTAAATGAAAGTGCCATGAACCTTTTTCTGGTTTGAAAGTCCCCTTTTCCAGTGTTATGCAAAATCAATGTACTCAGTTATAAGTTTTAGATTAAGTAATTTGTTATTTTGTTTCCTATTGCTCAAAATTCGCTTGTTTATTACATTGTACCATGCATGGGGACCCAAAAAAGAACCTGGACGGTAAGACATCGGTATAGGTGTCTCTTTTTAGCCACGCCCTCTGACCTGCTTCCGTGGGTATTGCGCTTTGGGCACAAATGCGTGACAAACCATGGCAATTTTATTAACTATGAACTAAGCTAGGCAGCAAATCATGCGCCACCCGCGTTATCAATCAATTCCCGCACAAGTCGTGCACTTAACCACAAATCAAAACAACAACATAAATTTATTACAATCAAATGCTGTGGTCACATTTGAACTGTTGTACAGCTGTAAACTGACGTCGATTTAAATAATTCTCCTAAATAGTAAATAAATTGCAGAGATTCTCGACCTAAAATATTCTAAAATCATGTCAGTAAGATTCGGGACGACATTATTTTTTCTTTGCATAAATCTACGGCGTTTAATTTTGGCTGTCGGGTACGAGTGTCATCGCGAGGGACAGTTTGTCAAAGTGGAACCAGGTATATCTTTGAATTTATGTTGCGTACACGTCGCATGCCTTCAGATTCGATAGCATTCCAAAAAGTAACTTTGTAATTGTAACTGCTCCGACCCCAGCTTACTTTTTCGAATCTTGCCTTTCCCTCAAAAATAAAGCCTTAAAGGCGCACTGCAAATACCAATATTTTTATAACGTACGGTGTCCATGACACATTATATTGGCCTGGGTATTAAACAACTGCATGTCTAGGGATATTCTGATTTCTGATCCACTTAAAAGACTAAATTTAAAAGCTCAGTATGTGTGTAACTCTGTCTACATGCATTTGCTTAGCTTAAATACGACATAAATTACCAGGGGCCGGTTGTATAAAAAAGCTAGTGATTAAAGTTAATTATAGTTAGTGGAAACGTCATCCAATAAGAAGCGCGTATTTGAGAGTTAATCACCATTTAACTACAAAATAGTGATTAAAAAAGTGGTTAATTTAATTAAGAGTTTTATACAACCGGCCCCAGGAAACAGAAACTGCAGTGCAACGCGAAAAGTGCGAGAAAAATATGACTCGATTATCAGTTTCCATTGTTTCCTTGTTCCCAAAAAAGATTTCACCGTGTTCCCTTGTCCCTTATGGCTATGATTTTTCGGCTTTGTTCCCTAAAATCCCTGGGAGATCCTCGACTATAAGACCGATTTACACTATACAACTTTTGCCTAAAGCTGTCGCCGATGCAACCTGCTTACAAGTTCAGTTGTATACTGTATAAATCAAGAACACAACTCATCTACGACAACATAAGCGAGTTGTGTGCTTGATTTGCACAGGACAACTCAAGTTCAGTGTAAGCATGTTGTATGCGACAGTTTTATGCCGAAAAGTTTTTGTTTAAATCAGCCTTTACGACTATACTCTGATTCGGTTAGTTGCTATAATGAAAGACGCTTAGTGTTGCCAGATCGCTTAACAATGTAATACGTTGTTGTCTTGGACAGTATAGATTTCCGTCATATTAGCCTTATTAGTTTTAGCTTGTTAAGTTGCTTGAAAATTTGTTTAGCGGCAGTAATTTAATTCTTGTTTATATGGGATCGCCGTAATTGGGGAAACTGTGGTGAATTCCCTGGCCCCATATGTTGTATTTAAATAGTAGCCGAATCTTATTAAATCTTATAATGAAAGACGCTTAATAGCAACTAAATTAAATGGTTGCATATTTGCATAAATATGTCAAAACTATAAATAGTGCCGATATAGTGGAGGTTTTAAATAAAATCATATTAAAGCAGGTGGAAATCAAAACATTTGTCTATGTTGTTTTGAACACAATATTTCCAACTTTGTTTTGCATCCCATATTATCAAAGATTCGTCCATTTTTTTCAGTACAACCTGAATAAAGGTAAAAGTGAATTTCCTGACCAAGAAAGTATAGTGCTGGTTTGTGTTTTCACATCTCTCCTCGTAGCTTTTAAAAATTAAAATTCAGCGTTCACATCGCGTACTTTCTAGCGCAATGGGGAGCATTGAACCTATGAGTATGATTGAACCATAGGCCCGTTTCATACGCCGTACTTCACATGTACCGAATACATTAAAAACAATAGATAATGAGGCATTTCAGCTCATTACCTATTGTCTTTAATGTATTCAGCACATGTGAAGTACGGCGTATGAAACGGGCCATAGTTAATAGAGAGAAGATAAAGTCCTCTTTTAACTATGATTGAACTGATTTTATTTGTATATCCGCGCGGATGCAGGGCCGGATTAACGTTTCCCGGGGCCCGGGGCATATTATAAGTGCAGAGTCTTAAAATATTATTGGAATATGGCGTTGAATGTCATCGACCTGCATAACTATTCACTTAGATGATTATGCCATTGAATGTCTTCAGCATAACCATTCAACTTGGATGGTCATGCCGTTGAATGTCATCGGCATAACCATTCAACTTGGATGGTTATGACTTGAATATCATCGGCATAACCATTCAACTTAATTAGATGGTTATGATGTTGAATATCATCGGCATGACCATTCAACTTAGATGGTTATGACGTTGAATGTCATCGGCATAACCATTAATCAAGTTGGATGGTTATGGCGTTGAATGTCATCGGCATATTAACCATTCAACTTGTGACTTCAGAATATTTGACAATTCAATTCAGTAGGAGACATAATCACATAATGGTTAATTATAGATGCGAGCAAGATGAACAACACTCTCTGATTACAAGTGAGGGTCTCCCAGGGGTATTTGGGGAACAAGGGAACACTGTAAATTTTACAATGGGAACACGGGAACAAAGGAAAACAAAATTAGGGAACAAGGGAACACGAAATATATTGGGGAACAGGGGAACAAAACCCCTTTCCTAGAATATATACAAGTGGTACAATGGCCTAATGTATTGTAGATGAAAAATGGGCATAATATATCGTTTTCTCCAATTTGTCCAACCAGCTAGTGTACTTGTGGTAGACTGTTCTACGGGCTGCTTGAGGATGATAAGTGAAGTTTCTCCTCTAGTCAGATTTTTGAGCAGCCATCATGACTTTTCTCGGTCACATTTTGCTTGCACCTGAAAAAGCAGATACCAACGGCAACGCCCTTCACAATCGACGCAGCAATCACCAGAATCGAAGAGGTATATGACTTCGATTGTCAGTGCATACATAGAACAAGTCAAAGCCTTCCTTAGAACAAATGCCCAGAGCCAAGGTCCGCAAGGAAACGTTTCTTCAGTCGTTGTGGAAGACGAAACAAGAATCTTTGGGAGAAATGCGAGGTCTGCTTCAAAAGTATGATCCACAGCTTTTGAAGTTGTTCAAACTTAAAGCCGTTTGACGCTGGTAGTCGAGAATTGTTTCTCCGAGATGAGGGCAGGGCATGTGATATGCCAATGCAGTTGCAGTTCGACTTTCACTTCAGTCGAGCAATGAAGGAGCACTTGAATACTTCAAGTCAAATCTGACTTGAAGTATTCAACTCTACCAAAGATGGCCCCACCTTCAGCAGCACAGTTGACAAAGTCACAAGTGCAGCAAATGAGAGACTGGCGCATAAAGTATGGTCAAAGTGTCCCACAGAATACCGTGCGGAACATGAGCACTAAAGACAATCCGGGTACTCTGCCGATAAATCTCTATGCCCTGGCACAGCCAGCTAGCGAGCCTTTGGAATTCTCGAAAATTACAGAAAATGGTACCCAAACAGACACACACCATGCCAACACGCACAACATTCTTCATTCCACTGGGGACGTTGTTTTTCTTGCCTCGTACGCCAATTGTGGGCGGATGATGATCTACCATCTACAAGAAAACGTTAGTGTTTCAACAAAGAAAGCAAGAGCCACCATTTTTGAAGGTGACCCTTTCAATCCACTTATATTTACAGAAGAAGGAGTTGTCAAGGTCAATGCGAAAGAAATACCTGGTTCTCAAGTGGAAACCGTTTGCAGGAGATAGCAACTTTGAACTGACAGAGAATGAGTTTCTAAGATAGCAGTCGAGAATGATTGAATGTGTTGATGCTGTGACGATTGAAGAGGCGAGATGATATCGACCAAGAAAGTGCAACAGATACGAAGCCAAGACGTGCAAGAAAGACACCACATAGGCTACTGACGATTTTGTATATTATGATTAGTAAAGGTGATACTTTAGTACTTTAATCGTTGGAACAATTGAAGAAACTATAAATGCAATGCTGTTCATTAGATCTATTTTTTGTTATGTAATAGTAATACTGTCAATACTTCCACGAAGTCAAATAACTATTAAACATTATAGTCTTCTTCAGTATTGTATTTTTCAAATGAGCAACATCTGCAGGCTTGTGATTGTATTTTTCTGTTTAATTTTGTTAAAGTGAACGTATGTATTAATATAATGGATGATAGCGAGGATAAACTGTCAAATTTTCTGAATAACGAAACAAAATTTAATTTATAAAGGGGAACAAGGTAGCATGGTTAAATTTTGGAAGGGAACAAGGGAACAAAGCGAAAATTTTGAAGGGAACACGGGAACAAATACCCCCCCCTGGGAGACCCTCACAAGTTTCCATCAAATTTAAACGAATCTAAAACTAAACTTACATATATACTTATATACAATACTGAGGCATATAAAGGCCTTTGGCGGCGCCCTTATAGGCCTTAGTTGTCGAGCACGTGTATCATGAGGCTTTGGCTTGACCGGGCCACAAACAGCACCCCGCGTAACTGACTGAAATCTATAATATTTCATCAAAGTATGTGACAGTGCTAACCTACAGAACCCTGTTGTAATGTTCATATACACTAATTCTAACCGTTCGTCTCCTATTTTAAAGATGGACTACCTCCACTCAACCCAATTAAGGTTACCACGACAACCGAAGGAACATTCTGCTCCATAAAATGTCTTGATTACCCAGGATGCAATTCATTTGCATACCTAAACTATACATCCAGCGAGAATTGTTTGCTAAGCAGTAGTGTTGATGGCGCGTCAGTGAGTGGAGCTAGTGGTGTGGTCGAAATTTATAAGAAGGCTGTGGCAGAAGTTGCTAAGGTGAGCTTGCGTTATCGTTTTTGTAACCCTCTAGTAAGCCCCCCCCCCCCCCCTTAAATGAGCCCTTTTCTCTCTTCAAACAAAAGACATGTTTTTGTAACCTGGCACCGGTGCGGTGAACAAGTGCGACGCTCACCCGGAAAAAATGAAAATTTGAGGCCCGCTCGTAAATGTAATTTCCTGAATTTTATGGCACCGAATTGAAGAAGTATGGGGAACAAAAATGCTACAAAAAAATTGCTTCATAATTGGTTTTGGTGCTTTGCAGTTGGATGACTTGGTGGGAGCTAAATATATACTATTAGGACGACTTAGCCCCCTTTTAAAATTTTACGGGTGCAAAAGCGCCGCATCCGAAAGAGTGCCGTGGTGCTTACGGTACGACTTAGTTTCCTTCGCAGGCGTTTTTCAAATAACTCGGAACGTACGCTTCCAGATAAGACTGCCTTCATACGAGACGGACGAATTCGGAACTGCATGGAACTTCGACCGAAGTGGAGAACGTCTTGTTAGGAATAATTATGTAATTGTTTCTCTTGAAGGCCACAAGTTTATTTCTGTTTCAATATCTACTTACCGTAGGGATGCGATCCAAACCCCTGCCTCAATGGAGGGACCTGCCTGGACACATGTGAGGAGCCATTTTATCACTGCGTTTGTCCGGAAAAAACAACAGGAGATGACTGCACGCCTATCTACAGTAAGTGCTTTATTCTCATTTCAGTAGCTTCACGGTGGATCATGGTAAATGCATGCAACTTACAATCGAGGGATTCAGATTTGATTTGCACCACGCCACGCCACCACCGCTATCGCTACCAGTAAGGGACCATTAATAGAAATAATAATCAGATGCAATTTAATCCGATGCGTACTAAACCTCTCTAACATTGCAACACCATCATTCATTACCCTGATCAACACAAACACTTAGCTACTCCGAGAACAAGGTTGAGTATCGTCTACTACAACTAAACATGCGACACCAACAATGACAAAGATCAGAAAAGCAACAGCATTTAACAATGACAAGTGTCAATAACAACAAAAACAACAACAACAGCATCAAAAACAACAACATGTTACAACAGCGGCAACGACAATGACAACAACTATATTTAACAAATATATTTCAATACTTTAGGACCTTTCTATGCGAAGTTTACACGTCTTGGTAAAACTGGGCGCACTGGACCAAACAAAATAGGAACTAACTACGATGGCCAAGCACACAAGGATCTGACCACTGTACAAAACGGAATACAATATTTTACAGTTCCCTATACAGGAGTATACACAATCACTGCCGTTGGGGCTGCAGGAGGACTAGATTCAAGCAGCAGTTCTTACAGAGGAAGGGGTGCAAGAGTGGGTGGAGACTTCAACTTAGGAAAGGGGCAGGTTTTAAAAATACTAGTTGGTCAAGTAGGCAGATATAACAGTCCGTATCGGTCAGCTGGAGGTGGAGGTGGATCATTTGTGGCTACCTCTTCAAACGTACCGTTGATTATTGGAGGTGGGGGAGGCGGTATACTGTCAGTAACCAAGATGTATGTTAGTGCACATGGCAATACAGGACCGGCGGGAAAACCTAACGGCGGTTCTACTAAGAGGACTATTTGGAGCGGTGGATCCGGTGGGTATGGGGCAACCGAGGCAGATAATAGTAATTCAGGTAATGTATTTGGCAACACGCGTTAAAAAAGGCACACAGTCGCCCTTTGAACGATGTGATTTTACGCCGTTGTAACAATGTAACAACAATGTAATTTGATATTTATCATGTTTGGAGACCAAAATTCAAGTTATTTCGATAAATTTATCTAAATTGAATATTCATTGTAAATTAGGCCGACTTTTATTAATTGCATAAAGTTTTATTAATTGCATATATTATCACCACACCTTTTGTACAAACTTGAAAAAGAGTTGTGCATGAACAAAAATCAAGTTTCACGCCGACCAAATCACATTGCTCAGCAGGTGGCGCTGCAGTGCCTTTAAAACTCGCGACTTGCAGCAACCATGCACAGATTTGTTACAAGGTTGTGTTCACACGCCGCAGCAGTCATGGACAGGGACCAGTGGCGGAAATTCACTTTTCCCGGTGGGGGGGCAAAGCCTCCAAAATTTCCGACAAACCTCCTCCATTTGCACTCGAAAAGGTTGTTTTTAGCCCTCTTTTAGGCCAAAATGTCCGAAAATTCGTCAATTGTCAGCGGTAGACCAGAGCGGTAGGGCCGGGTAGTCGGACGCGGACTGAGGCCCGGAAACCTGTAGGCTGGCCCATATGAATTACTGAAAGGAAGACAGATTCAAAATCGGACCCACAATCTCAGAGGTGAATGGCGATTGAACCATCGAAGCCCCACAAAAGCACTTTCAGTCTAGCACAAAACAGCAGGGACATTATATTCAGACAAAATTGCAGAAAATTAAAGTTGGTCTGGGAGGTGAAATGCACACGCACTAACCAGTGGTGGCAATATACTTCAATAGAAGTTTTTATAATGTTTCAGGTGGTGGCGGTGGAGGTTTTTACAGCAACGGACGAAGTGGAACCAACCATGGAGGGAAATTTGGACTTGGAGGGCAAGGGGGTTTCGGCTTCAAACAAGGTTTGCAAAGCAAAATTATTGGTAATTTTTGTGTGATTATAATTAACGTTTTTCCAGTACGTTTCTTCCCATCTTCACACCACTGTTGTGTTCTACCATATATTTATACGTAGTCATACATAAGTAACGTAATTATACTCGCAAGACAAGACCATGTGTTCCTTCCCCTAGATTCCTTATTCCCAAGCTAGAAGACCATGTGGCCTGTCCACGTGACCTTTGTCATAGTAACATGGTCAGCTGTTTCAAAAAAGGTTGTCCTTCAAAAATCTCAAACCTTAAACTCTAAGCGCGGAAGGTGTGATGGGTATCTTCTTACTTAAGGCGTAAAACGTGCGAATTGTGCATAGTAACTATGCAGTGGCGGCGCCAGGGGGGGAGGCAAGGGGGGATAAATGCCCCCCAAAATTATCTTTTGCCCTCCCCCATTTTGCCCCCCCCCCCCTCAAAAAAATTTATTAGTCACTGAGAACATTTAACTTTAATATTTTTCATTGTTTTTCAAATATTCGGGACCACTTAGCAATTTTAGCTATTTGGTCTGCATACCTTGTAAAATTTTTATCCGTTGACGGTTTTATTTGTCAGTTGAAAACTGAAAATTCGCGTCACGTTGCCAAATAGCGTCCGGCCTGTATGAGCCTTAAGGCACTAATAAGATGAAAGTATCACGAAATTATTTGAATAAACCACATCGCATATATAGGGAGCGAATATCCTGAAGGAGGGGGACTTTCCTGAGGCATTCGCCCCTCTGGGGGGGGCGATATTCCTAAGATATTCGTCCCCCGGGGGCGGTATTCCTAGGAATATCGGCCCCTTTTGAGAGGGGGGCGAATCTCCTGGGGGGACAAAAGTCCTGTGACAAAGGCATGGGCAAATAGCAGTACCTTTTTAAAAATTCTATCTTGCCCCCCCAAAATATGAGTTTGCCCCTCAAATGCCCCCCCCCCCAAATTCTGAGGCCTGGCGTCGCCACAGTAACTATGGCAAGCAGGCCCGCATGGGGAGCAAGGAGGCAACTGCCCCCCCCCCAGAGAAAACTACATTTACGATTTTTAGAATGTCATTATTGATTATTCTTTGGATATTTGGGACTTTTTTGGCATATAGGCCTTACTGCCCCCTGGTGAAAAAATCCTGCGTACGACCCTGATGGCAAGGCAGATAATAAACACTTAAAAAATCTAATAAGAACTTAATAAATCTTAAAAGATGTACAACTAGCAGTGCACTAGGATTATTTGCCCAATCAAAATCCCGCTAAAAAGACATTTTCAAAGGACAACCTCAGTGTGACCACAGTATTCTATTAACTGTGGTGTGACCAGATTTGGTAATTTTAATTACTTTTGGTAATATTTCACGATTTTTCTGACTTTTTTGGTAATTGAAAATTTTTGGTAATTTTTTTAGTAATTTTTCGGTTGTCGCATGAAATTCAGCCAAATACGCCATAATAACACAACCTGTTATTCAAAAATTCAATGAGAACAGTTACAGGTCCATGCCTGCAAAGCTGTACATCCAAATTGCAAGCTACTGGCCCAAGCTGTCCAGCTGAATCGACGGAATCCTGCTGATCACCATTCACCCTGTGCTGATTGCGGGCTAGGGACCCGGACCAATCATCGTGGCGCCATATTTGCATTTTGCACAATTGCAATCAAAAAGTACAAGTGAGAAAGAAAAACATGGAAAAAACATAGTTTCAGTGATGGAAAATGTCTTACTGATTTTGTTTTGCTGAGATGTTTTATTGATTTTCAAACCACTTTGGTTGACAGCAGAAATTTAGTAATTTTTTCTACGTTTTGGTAATTTTTTGCATGCTTATTTAGTAATTGCCTTGCAAAATATCTGGTCACACTGGACAACCTGTTTTGAATTAGCTGTATATAGATCAAAAGTTAAAGTTCTAATTATATATTTAGTCTATTCAGTGTCAATTACACGTCAGTTACACAGAATGTAGTTGCCCACCCGGGGCACACGTTTGACAACTGACTGCATATCAAATTCTTATTACATAATGATTAAGTTTTCCAGTGAATTTCCTAGCTCCCTCAAGCACGCTAACTGGGACAGTCTGCCTTCCATATAAACAAGAGCCTCTAAATGAACAAGTCTTGTTCGTGCATACTTTTCGCATCCTCTGTTTTGAAAACGTCCACAGAAAAGCCTGGCAGAAAGCATGAATCATACGAAAGTAAGAAAAGTGCGTTCTGTATGTCACAAACTTGTATTTCGATTGGGCGTCCGTACCCAAAATAAAATAGGCCGCCCATTTTATGACTCGCGTGCCCAAGGCCAAAGATCTGGCACAAGCAATAACCGATGTTATTTATGTGACATTTCAGGTGGTCAAGGTGGATTAGCGTATAGAAATACTGGAGGAGGAGGCTTTGGAGGAGGTGGTGGTGCCTATGGTCATGGAGGGGGCGCTGGAGGTGGGGGTGGTTATTCCGGGGGAGCATCAGAGATAATTATCCTGATACATGTGGTGGAGGAGGTGGTTCATACAACGGTGCATTTCAAAATAAATTTTCCAGCCACGGATACAACAGTGGCTATGGTTTTGTTACAATAACCCGAATTAATGTTTGATTTATCTAACTTTCCCTTGCACAACTAAAATTTCTGAAGATGCTGTATTTAAATCTTCGAGGCAAAATATACTTTACAGTCAAGGATAAAACCACAGTAGATGGTAAGATGATGGTCTGGAAACTAAACAGAAGTGATTGTGTTATGTTTTTGTCGGAGTTTATGTTAATTTGTGCACGGTCACGTGATTGAGCTCATTGTAATTTCGTAGAATGAAGTGATTGTCGAATAGGGATGCGGCTGATGTGAAACGTGCAACCACGATGAGTAAGGGACCGTTCATTAATTATACGTCAGGGTGGGCTGGAGGAAAAAGAGCAGAAACGGTGCAAGTTTTCCATGACCCCCCCATTAAGGTTTTAATTTTTTCATGACCCCCCCCCTTCTAACCGTCAATTTTTTTCACAGCCCCCCTAAAAAATTTTCCGGACGTACATAAGCATAGTCTACAAATTTTTCCGGACTAACATAAGCATATACAAAATTTCTCCACCAACATAAGCAACGCTTCCAATTTCTTCACCACAAACATAACAAAAGCTTTAAAACTGTTAAAAATTGCAAACCATTTCATCAAATGGTTTTGGTTGTGAAAGCTTAATATTTGAAACTGGTCAACCTAAAATATTTACAATTACCGCAAATAATTTTGGCAGCCCCCCCTTTCATGCTGAAAACACTTGAAAGGCCCCCCCCCCCCCCTTCTAACCGTAAAATGTTTTGGCAACCCGCAATGATGTTACCCGCACAAAGGATTTGTACGGTGAGGTATACAGTTCATCATCCAAAAAAAGCTCCTTCTACTTTGTAGCTTTAAATTTTTCCTTGCTTCCAGACCATCATATCTACTGGGTGTATAAAAAAAATGTACTCAGTTTCAAATTCAAATTAGCCATAACCTTTTAAATATTTGGCGTTGCTCTGCATGCAGTAAGCTGGCCCATTTTATATCTTATGCAGACTTGAATAATGCTTACTTTAAACATTTTTCTTTGAGTTGTGTATTTGTTCATACAAATAGAAGTTATCCTAAATTCCCATTTGCAGAAGGCGTTTTCACCATTCATTAATTCGAGAAATTATACGGCTGTCAAATTACGGTTAATTTGAATTTGAAAGGGTGTGCATTTTTTGATACACCCTGTATGCATGGTAAAAGTAAAACGACGGTCATGGATGGACATGTTACAGTAAATCGAATTTACTGATAAACGTTAGTTTAGTGTTAACTTATCTTTTTATCTAACACAAACTTTCCTAAGTAAAATGTCTCTGTCATTAGCCAGAGTAAAATACCTTGGAATAACTAAGTAATTTGTTATTTTGTTTCCTATTGCTCAAAATTCGCTTGTTTATTACATTGTACCATGCATGGGGACCCAAAAAAGAACCTGGACGGTAAGACATCGGTATAGGTGTCTCTTTTTAGCCACGCCCTTTGACCTGCTTCCGCGGGTATTGCAGTGGCGTGCTGGCAGGGGGGGCCGGGGGGCCACGCCCCCCCCCCCAGCTGGCAATTCTTGGGGGGCGCAAAAATGAAAATGGGGCGCCGAATTTTGAAAGTGGGTGGGAAAAAACGCATTCTCGAAAAAATATGGTTACTTCCGCCAAGAAAAGACATGTTTATAGACTACAGTATAAAACAGACTAAGCATATATAGGCGACATATATTAAATTACAGACTATTTTGCCTAACCGTATTTGCTACCTCACAGCTCACACGAAATCGTTCATATAGAAACATGATCAGTGATCACAGGCAATGTCTCATTACCGGAATATTGGTCAGGTTTCGATCGAAGCGATCACAGGAATTATGCCCTTTTTTGCTGGTATTATGCCCTTATATTATGTCCTTTATTATGCTTCACGAGTCACGAGAGCGGCGCAAATTAGATAGTTGAAGTTATGATAACTGATGTTTAGTTGTGTACGCAATTTAGTTGTTTGCACAAGAAGCATGAGTAATGTAAGCAATGAAATAATGCTGAAACATGCCCTTTTGGCAGCCAGGCAAGGAAACCTTAAAATGCATATGCGTGGGTTGCTTGTGTTATTGTATAGAAGAGCTTTAAGTTGTAAATGTACTCAGAACAGTAGATCAGTAGAGAACAGAATTGGGATTAGATTAATCGCTGGAAGTAGTTAGCATTGCATAATTTAAGTACTACTACTAAATTCTAACCGAATTGCAAATTTCGACACGTTATAATGCCGTTTCCTGACCATGAGATTTCTGTCAAATCTTCCCCAAAAGTCCAGGAAATGGCATTTCAGAGACTCTAAATTCAAAAATTTTCCTGGGGGGCATGCCCCCGGACCCCCTAGACAAACCTCGTACCTGCGGCACTCGGCTCTTGCCTTCGGCCCTCGTTTATCAAGTGTAACATTGTAGGGGCGCATATTGGTTGACAGGCCACTGGCCCCTCCAGAAAAATAGTACCCAGCACGCCACTGGGGTATTGCGCTTTGGGCACAAATGCGTGACAAACCATGGCAATTTACAAGCTAGGCAGCAAGTCATGCGCCACCCGTTATCAATCAATTCCCGCACAAGTCGTGCACTCAGTAACCACAAATCAAAACAACAACATAAATGTATTACAATCAAATGCTGTGGTCACATTTGAACTGTTGCACAGCTGTAAACTGACGTCGATTTAAATAATTCTCCTAAATAGTGAATAAATTGCAGACATTCTCGACCTAAAATATTCTAAAATCATGTCAGTAAGATTCGGGACGATATTATTTTTCCTTTGCATAAATCTACAGCGTTTGGCCGTTGGGTACGAGTGTCATCGCGAGGGACAGTTTGTCAAAGTGGAGCCAGGTATATGTTTGAATTTATGTTGCGTACACGTCGCATGCCTCCAGATTCGATAGCATTCCAAAAAGTAACTTTGTAATTGTAAGGGCGTGTTCATTATTTATACCCGGGGTTGGTACCGAAGAGAAACTAATCGAAAAGAGAAAAAAACAACCACCCACCCTTTCGATCAACCATTTTTTCCCTACCCCACTATTGCATGACTTGGATTTTATTTTACCCAACCCAATCTCAAGATTATACAAGTATTTTACATATATATATATATAGGCCACTATAGTATAAACAGTACTGTGCAAGTTTGGTGCACTAACTGAATGTCAAATATAATAATTTGTACCTTCACAAGTTCATATTATGTTCCCAAGCCTCCAAGTTCCAGTCCTACCATATCTCGTTGTTGTAATCAGAGGGGATGGGGAGTTGGACTTTAGTTTTCTTTGTGGGGAATGAATGGATATTTCCTGGGATGACCCATTTTGTTAAATAAAGGATTTTCATATTTTGTTCATTCGAAAGTTTGTATTGAAAATAATTTACCCAACCATAGGCTTTGTTCAAAAAATATTTACCCAACCCTTCATACCCCAGAAAAATGGCTTACCCAACCCATTTCTCTTCGGTACCAACCCCGGGTATAAATAATGAACACTCCCTAACTGCTCTGATCTCAGCTTACTTTTTCGAATCTTGCCTTTCCCTCAAAAATAAAGCCTTAAAGGCGCACTGAAAATACCAATATTTTTATAACGGTGTCCATGACACGTTACATTGGCCTGGGTATTCTACGGAACACATTAAAACTGCATGTCTAGGAATATTCTGATTTCTGATCCACTTAAAAGACTAAATTTAAAAGATCAGTATGTGTGTAACTCTGTCTACATGCATTTGCTTAGCTTAAATACGACATAAATTACCAGGAAACAGAAACTGCAGTGCAACGCGAAAAGTGCGAGAAAATATGTCTCGATTATCAGTTTCCATTGTTTCCTTGTTCCCAAAAAAGATTTCACCGTGTTCCCTTGTCCCTTATAGCTATGATTTTCGGCTTTGTTCCCTAAAATCCCTGGGAGATCCTCGACTATAAGACCGATTTACACTACACAACTTTTGCCTAAAACTGTCGCCGATGCAACCTGCTTACAAGTTCAGTTGTATACTGTATAAATCAAGAACACAACTCGTCTACGACAACGTAAGCTAGCGAGTTGTGTGCTTGATTTGCACAGTACAACTCAAGTTCAGTGTGAGCATGTTGCATGCGACAGTTTTATGCCGAAAAGTTTTTGTTTAAATCAGCCTTTACGACTATACTCTGATTCGGATAGTTGCTATAATGAAAGACGCTTAGGGCGCTTTCCATTTAACGGCCTGACCGGTCAGATCCGAATTCTTTTCTCTGTATCAATGAAAAGATCTGGTCTATGTTTCTCAAATATCTAGCGAAAATGGACCTCATTCTAATGTTACCTAAATGTTCCGGTCAGATAGGTCCGAAGCCCAAATGTTTTGTAGTGATGGGCGATACTATCGAAAAAGTATCGAAATCGTCGATACTTACAAAAGTATCGATATTTTCGATACTCGCAAAAAGTATCGGTAATTCGATACCACTTGAGCCTACGATGTTTTTGGTCAGTATTGCTGAACAATCGCTAAATGCTTCATGAAGGCAACAGACTGAAGGACCCGGAAGGCAAAAAATGTTGACATGATGCTGTTCTTAAACAAAAACATATAGCTAATTAGCAATATATTTGAGGAAAACATTGGTGTTCAGATTTAAAATCATAATTGCAAATGTTATGTTCGATTATTTGGCAGGTACTCCAGTTAGAGTATTCTTCGACTTGTTTTAAACATTAATGTTCTTGTTTTAAAAGTTATTTTAATATTGAAATGGAAAGCCTTTAATAAATTGAGCCTGCGATGTTTTTGGTCAGTATTGCTGAACAATCGCTAAATACTTCATGAAGGCAACAGACTGAAGGACCCGGAAGGCAAAAAATGTTGACATGATGCTGTTCTTAAACAAAAACATGTAGCTAATTAGCAATATATTTGAGGAAAACATTGGTGTTCAGATTTAAAATCATAATTGCAAATGTTATGTTCGATTATTTGGCAGGTACTCCAGTTAGAGTATTCTTTGACTTGTTTTAAACATTAATGTTCTTGTTTTAAAAGTTATTTTAATAAATGGAAAAAATTGAGTATCGGTATCGATTTTGGTATCGGTATCGACCAAAATTCATGGTATCGGACTGGTATCGTATCGAAACCAAAAAAGCTGGTATCGCCCATCACTAATGTTTTGTGTTTCATTCAACAATTTGACCGTTCTGACCGGTCTGGCCGTGTTGATGGAAAGCGCCCTTAATGTTGCTATAATGAAAGACGCTTAATTAAGTGCTTAGCAACTAAATTAAATGGTTGCATATTTGCATAAATATGTCAAAACTATAAATAGTGCCGATATAGCGGAGGTTTTAAATAAAATCATATTAAAGCAGGTGGAAATCAAAACATTTGTCTATGTTGTTTTGAACACAATATTTCCAACTTTGTTTTGCATCCCATATTATCAAAGATTCGTCCATTTTTTTCAGTACAACCTGAATAAAGGTAAAAGTAAATTTCCTGACCAAGAAAGTATAGTGCTGGTTTGTGTTTTCACATCTCTCCTCGCAGCTTTTAAAAATTAAAATTCAGCTTTCATATCGCGTACTTTCTAGCGCAATGGGGAGCATTGAACCTATGAGTATGATTGAACAATAGTTAATAGAGAAGACAAAGTCCTCTTTTAACTATGATTGAACTGATTTTATTTGTATATCCGCGGATGCAGGGCCAAATTAACGTCTCCCGGGGCCCGGGGCATATTATAAGTACAGGGTCTTAAAATATTATTGGAATATGGCATTGAATGTCATCGACCTGCATAACCATTCACTTAGATGGTTATGCGGTTATGCCGTTGAATGTCTTCGGCATAACCATTCAACTCGGATGGTTATGTCATTGAATGTCATTGGCATAACCATTCAACTTGGATGGTTATATATGCCGTTGAATGTCATCGGCATAACCATTCAACTTGGATGTTTATGCCGTTGAATGTCTTCAGTATAACCATTCAACTTGGATGGTTATGCCGTTGAATGTCATCGGCATAACCATTCAACTTAGATGGTTATGACGTTGAATGTCGGCATAACCATTCAAGTTGGATAGTTATGGCGTTGAATGTCATCGGCATAACCATTCAACTTGTGATTTCAGAATATTTGACAATTCAATTCAGTAGGAGACATACGCCCGTATTCTAAAAGCTCACTCACACTCAATGAGTGGAGGTTCAATCTGAGCTTCTCTTGAGCATCAATGCTGTTTTTGAATAGCTGGAGGGGTAGTGTCATACCTTACTATGTGACTGCTCACCCTCCAGCTATTCAAAAACAGCAATGACACTCAAGAGAAGCTTAGATTGAACCTCCACTCATTGAGTGTGAGTGTGAGTGAGCTTTTAGAATACGAGCGATAATCACATAATGGTTAATTATAAATGCGAGCAAGATAAACAACACTAGCTCTCTGATTACAAGTTTCCACCAAATTTGAACGAATCTAAAACTAAACTCACAACGACTTTCCAAAGATCTTTTTGGATTAGCACAATCAGAACTTGGAACACTTTAACGGACGCGTTAGACTTAAGTATGGAAAACCGGGCACGTTTAAGTCAGTAATGCAAAGATATTATTTTGCAGCATTGGAGAAAGCGTACGAATGTGATGATCCAAGAACATTTAAAACTATCTGCCCGAAATGTAACAGTGCAAGAACGTTAACCGAACCAGTGAACTGTTGTTTTTAGACGTTTTAATTGTATATATGTTTTTGTTTTAATCTTTTGGGCCAACAGTAATTGGCTTTTCAGGCTGTTGTGGTTACCCAGCCATCAGTTTAGTGTGTTTGTGTTTGTGTTTGTGTTTGTGTTTGTGTTTGTGTTTGTGTTTGTGTTTGTGTTTGTGTTTGTGTTTGTGTTTGTGTTTGTGTTTGTGTTTGTGTTTGTGTTTGTGTTTGTGTTTGTGTTTGTGTTTGTGTTTGTGTTTGTGATTGTGTTTGTGTTTGTGTTTGTGTTTGTGTTTGTGTTTGTGTTTGTGTTTGTGTTTGTGTTTGTGTTTGTGTTTGCGTTTGTGTGGGTGCGTATGTGTTTATGTCTACTGTATATCACACAATGATGGAAAAGCAATTAAATTAAATTAAATTAAATTAAAGGCCTTTGGCGGCGCCCTTATAGGCCTTAAGGCCGGCGCACACTAGAGCTATGTGCTTAGCAAAATGTCATTCGTGACTGTTGGCGTAAGGAGATAGCTCTCGTGTGCGGGCGATTTACGAACGACTTTTGTCATTCGTGCCACTTACGCCAAATATCTAAAGGCCGGCGCACACTAGAGCTATGTGCTTAGCAAAATGTCATTCGTGACTGTTGGCGTAAGGAGATAGCTCTCGTGTGCGGGCGATTTACGAACGACTTTTGTCATTCGTGCCACTTACGCCAAATATCTAACATGTTTGATAAGTTCTGCCTCGCGTGCCAAAATCTTTCCGTGTGCGGCGAACGAAAGCTATCTGCTTACGGATTGTCGTAACAGCGCATGCGTAGTATACGAATGTAAACATCCAAGATGGCGGCGCAAAATGAATTGCTGGCCGAGGCAATTTTAGAGGACAAACTTACTGGCTATTTCTTTCACCGCACATTCCCTTTTGTCCCTATTTCTAAAATCTGCAGAACTCACATCGTATAAACATTTGTATTCAGGCCAAAGTTCGACAAGTTTGTCCTCTAAAATTGCCTCGGCCAGCAATTCATTTTGCGCCGCCATCTTGAATGTTTACTTTCGTATACTACGCATGCGCTGTTACGACAATCCGTAAGCAGATAGCTTTCGTTCGCCGCACACGGAAAGATTTTGGCACGCGAGGCAGAAATTATCAAACATGTTAGATATTTGGCGTAAGTGGCACGAATGACAAAAGTCGTTCTTAAATCGCCCGCACACGAGAGCCATCTCCTTACGCCAACAGTCACGAATGACATTTTGCTAAGCACATAGCTCTAGTGTGCGCCGGCCTTAAAGTTCATCAATGAGCGCGGGCGTCGGTCACCAACGATGGGTGGTCATCCTCACTGATCTCAAAAATATGGCGGATTGTCATGAATAACGGACACTGATTGGTCCAATTTAAAGTTTGCATTATAACGACCGCATGACGACAGCGAAATAGCAAACATTTCTTGATTTGATCAAAGATTTGATGATTGATAAATTTCTTGCAAATATATTTCATTTTTGCTCGTATTTCTGCAAGATTTTGTAAATTTCAAGAAAGAAAGGGCGAAAGAATCAGCTAAAAGAAGGGAGCCGACGTTAACGAAGGTAAGTTTGTTTTAAATATTGATTTTATAATGGCTTTAAAACCCGACGGCCTTTGCGTTTATGAAACAACTAAACAAGACAGCATATATAAATTTCAGTGTAACTTTAATATTGACTCCCTTTTTTATTATATTGAATTTTTTAAATAAAAAATAAAGCAAAGACCAAAGTTATTTGCAAGCGAAAATTTGAAATCATTTTAGGGGTCACGTCCATATTCATGTTGCCACGCATAACGTCGAATCGACGTTAACACTCAAACCCACCCACCTACCCTAAATAACGTCGAGCGTGGCAGTCACATTGTTCAAAATCTTCACAAAATTGTAATTTTGCCACGAGATTATCGAGATAACGTCGAGAGAATTGAGATAAACCCACCCACCCACTCATAACGTCGATTCGACGTTATGCGTGGCAATATGAATATGGACGTGACCCCTTATTGCAAACTCAAAGTTTATCGATAAAGCCATTTAATAGTTAAAGGCAGTTTAGTTTTATAAAGAACTTTAAAACGTTTTGTGAATTGTTTGTGGTTGAATTTTACCTTAAATTGAGGCTTGTATTGCGTATAATTACATACCTAACATATATATGTTGGGAAATTGATAATTTTGTAATTAAAAGTGATATTTTTAGGCGATTTTCATTTGTAAGAATATTCTTAAAAAATTATCGTGTTACCATGACAACTACTCTATATACTTCCTGTTCGGAAAATACAACGGTTTTGTCAGCAAGGCGAGGGTTTCTGCATGCATGTATTTTCTAGTAATATATGATATGATCGACCAATCGTTATCTGTAGTAGGTCTTAATTTGTCACATGGAGGATTCGAGTTATCCATTATATTTACATAATATACGTCTAATAAAACTTGACAAGCATGTTCGTATTACTTGGACAATGCAAGGAACCAATGGTCATATGAAAATAAATATGGACTGGGAATAAGTTGGTACGTTATACGCTGATCATAGCTGAAAAATTCTACATTGAACACGTATGACGCCTAAGGTATAACATGCATGTTGACATGCATAGAGAATTAGAGTTAGGTAAAGGAATTATTAAAACTATTGCTATTAGCCGTCCAAACATATTAGGTACATGCATGTCAAAAACATCAGGCTCTGTTTTAATAGTCCAACTGTAGGTAATTATAGAAAGGTTGACCAACCATGCAATTAATGATGTCGAGTCTATTCCACTAATTCCAGTGGTTTCATATAGGTGTCATCGTAGGAAATGCCACAGTCAAAGAATGGTATGAAAAATTGTCTATTCACGTCAGTTTTAATCTCTTTCAAGTGCCAGTTAGGACATTAAAGTACTGCTTTTGAGCATAAAATAAACCCTTAAACGTTTTAGATAGTGAATTGACTGGATTTAGTGGAGCATAAGCGAAATAACACCTAGTAATATATACTATATATAACGAAATAATATTATAATCACAATGTAGGGAAGCCCTAAAATTCCGCATATAAACACTCTTTAAATATAATATCCAGCAGTGATTATTCAAATATTAATAAAACTTTTCAGTATAATAAGCTTACTTCAGCCCAGTTAACCGGGCAGGCACACTACATGTAATTGTAAATTAAAAGTTATCTCGCTCAGCTGTCTGGTCCATGTAATCGGCCCCATATTCAAATATATAAGGTCCAGGCCTCATTTAAGGTTAAGTAATCATTTTAATTGGTTAAAAAGTGATGGTATTTATAATACTTTGATTTTAAATAATAGGAATGAATTTCACAGTCTAACACTGTTAAACATGCATCATTGGGAGTAAAAGCCTCACTTGCATTAGTTCAAAGGTCAAATCTGCATTTACAAACAAGCATAAAAAATCTTGAAAATAGTGTAAGCATTCCTGTGATCAATCATTGAATAAAAATATGATAAACACCCCAACATTTTAACCTAATCAAATCATTTTCTAACTTGTAAAGAAGGCCTGAACCTTATATAAATAATATCCAGTATTGGGCGGACAGATCTACCATAAAATGAAGTAAAAACTCAGTATCTGGGCAGATATGATATCCTTTGCATCCCTAGTTATTTGTTATGTTTCTTTGTTTTGAAATACAAAGTTTACAACTTTACTTAAATACTTGTTAAGGAGAGAGTTTTGGATAAACGTATATGAAATGACTGTATATTGGTATTCAATATACTTATTTAATTAAATATATGCACCATTTGTACCCTTTTATAGTTAACCCTCAGATGTATAATGGCTTCCCTTCCACATGCACTGAGAGACAGACAGACCCACCAAAACAAGACAAGGCAGGCAAGCTTTTTATGTCGATTCTTCATGTAAGTTTACTAATATTTTTCTTTGTGATGTATAGGTTAACCCATTGAGACCCATTGCGCCCTGCCAATGTGAACCAATTGCATCATACTGTACCATACTATTAGCATTAATGGTACCAAGATGTGATGGTCTTAACTCTTTACAGTCGATTTCAACTTATTTTTCACTCAAATGTTCCGAACTTTGTTCCGAATTTCGCAAATTCGTTTCCAAGTTCAAAAGTTCATAATGAAATTCACAAACAGGTTTGTAAACAAAGCCTCTGATTGGCTATTAAATCAAACCAGTCAATCAAATGCCCAGTTTACAAACCTGTTTGTGAATTTCATTATGGACTTTTGAACTTGGCAACGAATTTGCGAAGTTCGGAACGAAGTTCAGAACGAAGTTCGGAACATTTGAGTGAAAAGTATGTTGAAATCGACTGTAATAATTCAACACACAAGTGGCTGTCAAAACATTAAATTATAACTGTATGAAGCCACCTGTAAATGATTTCATGAACTATAACATGTTCCTAGTTTGTAGCATTCAGCTTTGTTATCCATACAATTGCCTGTTACTAGCCCAAATCTGTTACTTTTCGTCCAATACACGTACAATTTGGATAATTATATATAAAGTCCAGAGAAGTGCAATGAGATTTTTTAGAGAAAGAGAGAAATCAATCTTTGCAATAAACTCTAATAAGGGGCCTATTATAGTTTCGCGGTTATGCGGATTTAGCCATATTTTGAGGTCGGATTTCGGTTACTGTATCCAGTTACTTTGTACGGTTTGCGGTTAACTAGAAATCATGCGGAGACGGAAAGTGTCGAAATTAACTCTCCGGATTCGGTTATTGACCAAAATAAATAGCGGTTTTCGGATAGTTTTTAACATGCGGTTAAGAAATATTTTACGAGCTTATGGCAATAATTCAGTTCATGGCATTCATCTTCCGATCGCGCGTATGTGTTGTTCAACAGAGCCTCGAAATGACGAAATCAAATGAGCAAAGTGGCCGGGAAACCAGGAACACCGGAACACGGAACACCGGAACAGTATCATTCCGGAATACGGAACACCAAAACACCAAAAATTTCGCTTAAGGGACCGGTCATAAAGTATTTACTAGGAGGTGTGGAGGATATTTTTGGGGGGTGCAAAAAAAAAGAAGAACCCTGAGGGGGGTACGAAAAAAACAATAGAACCTCTAGGGGGGTACCAAAATCTTAGTCCTATAGGTACGGAAAAAAAAAATTATTATTGTTGAATATTGAATGTTTTGTGCCCAGATTTAAGTTTGGAAAGAATTGCTTTACTATAATTATTAAATCAACACAAGATATATGTTTTAGTCTGACTCAATGTCAGATGATAAGTATAGGATTCAGTATCCGTTGAACTTTTGGAGTACAAATCTGATACACCTGAATTGTTAATGCTAGCAAGTTCACACCGGCATTAGAACTTGATGAACCTGATGAGGAAGTGTCACATTGAATGGAAGCAAATTTTTTCTATTTGAAATAAAGCATCTTTGATCTTACTCTCAGTCCATCGTTAGTATGTCAGAATCTGAAAAGACTGGTGACGAATCGGAGACTGCGGAAAATGTTAAGGATATGGTTACCACTACAAGAAGTGGAAGAGCTATCACAAGCTGAAGATTTTCGAAATATAGATAAACGCAAGACAAATGTTAAAACAGAATTAATGATAGAAGGGGGGTATGAAAATTTTCACTTACTTTGAAGGGGGTTACGAACATTTTTCCACAGGTTTTTGGGAGGGTATGGAAATATGTAGTTGAAATTTCATTTATCCTCCACCCATCTCTAGTAATTACTTTATGACCGGTCCCTAATTTCGGTTAAAAATTCGAGGGGAAATATTACCGGGGGTTGTGAAATTATTGCAGGAAAAATTATTCCGTAAAAGTAAAACATGCTTTTTAATATTCTGACTTGCCGATTGCTACTAATTACGAACTGAGATCAGTCTCAAAGTAATAAATATTTGCCCGAAAAGATGAAATCAAAGCAACTTGATTGTTTCTCACACAAAACATAAGCAGCGATGGAAGGAAAACCTTTTTATAGCTATTTGAACTGCTAAGACTTCGTTTGCTTTGCCAATTGCCAAAGTTTATACTACCAAGTTCACGTGAAACTCAGACGGCTCCCTTTTCAATACTCCAATAGAAATGGCGACTATACGACGAACTGACTATTGGTCTATTCATCATTGCCTCACAGAGGGCCCTGAAGGGGTAAAATGGGAACTGGGATTGACCTATTTTTTGACTAGGAAAATGGGATTTGGGTTGTTGGGACTGGGATTTGGCCACTGGGAATGGGAAATGAAGTCCTCAAAAATGGGAATGGGATTGAAGTAATGCGAGTCCATTCCCAATTTTGATCCGTTTTTGGTGTCTTTGGTCATGATTTTTGTTGTTAACTATATTATTCACAGAACTACCTGCGAACAGGCATACTTTGGAGCCCGAAATTCTGGGTTTTCTGATTATGTTTTCTGGTCTCAGAATGCTGCAAATGCCATTTCCGGGATTCAAATTTTAAAAATTTTCCGTGCCTTCGGCACGAGACACCCCCCTCCCAATATTTCATAAAGTGTCCGCCACTTGCGCACACGGTGGCTTAAAAGGTCTTAAAACTGTTTATTCTACCGATAAACAAGGTTTTTTTTATTGACTGGGATTTCAATAACTCGGACTGGGATTTCTAATAAAAATCCAACTGGGACTGGGATTTTACCAAAATTTCAGATGGGAAATGGGATTGGGACCCCCCTTCAGGACCCTCCTCACATTATGTTGCGGAATATGTTTCGAAATATGTTACCACATATGCCTCGGTTTGAACGCGGTTACGTTTAAAAGAGAAATGAGTGTGCGCTTTGCAGTTAAAATTTGAAAAACAGCGCGGTTTTCGGAGATGCGTACCCCCTATAATAGACCCCCTCTAATAACCAAATCCCTCTTAGTGTTACTCAAGTTTTTACTCTGTTGGGTCAGTGAAGGATTAAGACTTTAATACATTCTCTTTACGTGCATGCTTGTATATAATTAGCCTTTAATGACGTATTAAATCAATTTTTTAAAAGAGAGATTTGTCTGTTTAATTACGTCCCATCTTATTTTCTGCACTGAAGGCTATCTTACACGAAACGATATTGAACGACGTAATGTTAGAAATCATTTACATCATTTAGAAATCGTACCTAAATATCGTGATGTGTAACAACTTACGACAAACTTTCTACAGGGAGTTTTGGATAGCTGAAACGACCCTTTTGAATAGCTGAAGCGACTCTTTTTTTAATACTGAAACGACCCTTTTGAATAGCTGAAACCACCCTTCTGAATAGTTGAAACCACCCTTTTGAATAGCTGAAATCACCTCTTCAATAGCTGAAACGACCCTTTTGAATAGCTGAAATCACCCTTTTGAATAGCTGAAACGACCCTTTTGAATAGCTGAAACGACCCTTTTGAATAGCTGAAACGACGCTTTCGCGTAGCTGAAACGACCCTTTTGAATAGCTGAAACCACACTTTTGAATAGCTGAAACGACAATTTCGAAGGGTGATTTTCCTACCCTTTGAGGAGTTAAAACTACCGTCTGAAAAGGGTAGAATCTACCCTTTCGAAGAGTAAGCACCGAAGGGACTGAAACGACCCTTTTGAAAGGGTAGTCATGGGGTCAAAAAAATACTCCTCTGAAGGGGTCAAAACTACTCTTTTGAATTTACAGTCATACAGTGTACCGTAAAAACAATCGCTTTCAAAAGAAATCCGTCGGGCAGAACGCGAGTACATGAATATTCAACCATCCCCCCCCCCCCAATTATCGCGTCTAGTTACGGCCCTGGCACGGACATTATCGACCATAAATTCTTTTGTACAAGCTATTTTACCATTACTGCACACAGACCCTTTAGCAAACACAAGATCTTGTACTCACGGGACAAAACTCAAATAAATAAAAATGAGAAAAGTTAAAAGAAATTTTCTAATTTTCATTTCTTTGAGTTCTGTCCCATGAGTACAAGGCTTTGTGTTCCTACCCAAACATTAATTCAAAGCAATTAGAGTTGTCCAATTACTATTGGACTATTCCATTTAATATCCGTACCCACCCTGTCAAGGATACGTGTTTTTCATAGTTATACCCTTGACGAATTCCAAGCTTAAAACTCTTTACCCTTGAAGAAATCCACGCTCAAAACCGTTAATTTTCCCATGACGAATTCGAACCTCAAAACCCTTTACCCCTGAAGAATTCCAAAATTTCAAGCTTAAAACTCTTTACCCATGAAGAATTCCACACTCAAAACCCTTTCCCAATGACGAAATCCAACCTCAAAACCCTTTACCCCTGAGGAATTCCAAGCTCAAAAAAACTTAAATCTCAAACCTCTTTGCCACTGAAGAATTACAAGCCCCTAACCTTTTACCCATGAAGAATTCCAATTTCAAAACCCTTTATCCTTGACGAATTCCAACTCAGAATCCTTTATCCTTGAAGAACAGAAGAATTCCAGGGATCCTCAACAGGGGAGGGGGAAAAGGGAATATATGGTTGTGAAAAGGGAATATAGGGTTGAATACAAACTATAAAAACCCAATCATTTTTCAATTAAACAAGCATGTAAAAATTAGAGAAGCAAAAGTAAGGCTAACATTTTAGCATTCATTGATCCAACCCTTTTCACCCCACCATAACATGCAAATGTGAATGGTTCAGCGCAGTTGTGTGAGTCAAGGTACATGCCAGTCTTATATGAGTGAACAATATAACTCCACCAATCTCCAGAAATGTTAATTAAACCTTTAATTCTATTGGCATTTTCCTATGGGTCGACCCCAAAGCTTATATAAACATAAATGATTATTTATTATGAATTTTCATTTCCATTGAAAAGAAACATACTACACAAAGCTAAGGACATATCTAGTATTTTCAGTAGATAAATTTCAAGCCTTCAAATAACTATAATTTTTATATAGTATCTTGCAATTGTAAGGATAACCCTTAATAAGGCACAATGCTCACTAGCATACCCCACATGGTTGTTGTGCTTTACTCCACAAGAAAAAGGGGCTAGGGTATTGGATGTTGGGGTCAAATGTTGAGGTTGGGATATTTACCAATCAATCCCATTCCTTTTCAATTCCAATGGCCACTGTGGTCAAAGCACTATATATTTAACAAATATACAACATTTTCCGTGTTTGTACAATTTCGAGTTTTCCCAACTTCCACGAGTGTTGATATAACTATATATCAATACGGAAAAAATGTTTTATATTTTTTTTTATAATATATCAACGTCAAAAGCCCGCCAAAGATAAGAAAAATTTCCGTGTTTACAAGCGGCGGAAAATTTCCAGTGTTGACATCGAGTTATATCAACACGGCTCTTAGCCAATCAGCGTTCAGAATTTACAAATGCTATATTATAATATTGTTTATTCTCTAACAGCGAATGATGACTCTTTGTCTTCTTTGTTTCACATTAATTTCAACACTTGAGATGCATACTCCCACAAGCCAATATCGTCAGGCGATTATGAAGAAATCTGGTTGATTCTGGGTCCATATTATGTCCATAGCCATCTAGACGCAATATCTTACAGTCCTCAGCTTTATGTATAAACTCACTCATATCAGGCCTAACAGCAAACGAAAATATTGTTCTAATTTTTACCCCAATATATCGCATTGCCACCCCTACATATGCGTCGTCTGTGTGAAATGGTTCTCTTATATAGACATAGTTAAATAATTTGTTGAGAAGGTCGGTAGACAGAACAAAGAACGCTCCAGCATTAAACATCGGAAAATTCACTTCACCAAAATATTTCCAACTAACTGTCCATTTTCCACCAATAACACGATTAACTCTGATTGGCAAGTAGGTCATTCCTCCGTAAAATGGTCTTGGAAACTTAGCATTAACAAGATATTCCAACACACGTGGTATGCGCACATAAACATCATCGTCTGTTTTGAATGTGTATTTTATATCAAATTTACTTGCCCACACTTGACCCATGTAGAACTTGACAACATTATTAATATAGTTGTCTGTGATATTTCCTATCAACATATCATTGTGTTGTCCAGCTTCAGCCATGTTTAGTTCGTCATCGTTTGTTCCCGGTCCTGCCTTTCCAACAACAAATACGAGTAGCCACCGTAAGTTCTTCTTTCTTTCATCTCCCATAGCTTTGCATTGTTCACAATTGCTTCAATTTCCCCAGGTTTGTCGGATAGCCTCGCGACGTTTTCGAAACTCGTCGCCCTTGGCGCCCGAATTGACCAAAACCATCATAAAAATCTCTGGTGTTGTTTCAACTTTGGGCGAAATTTCCGGGAAAACGAACTTAAAATCATCAAAAGGGTAATAGTCGTTTACTATATATGTCAACCGTTGGCTTTCTCGTTGGCTTTCTCGTTGGCCTTCTCGCTACAGGATTTTCAGAAATCTTTGATGCATGAAAATTGTTTATAAATTTTATCAATGTTCTGTTAATCCATTTTGGGATCGCAAACATAGCTACGTTAGCCGCATTTAAGGAATCTATACTTCCCGTAGTCATATCCACATCCGTAGAGCTGTTTCGTTTAAAATTATGAATACAGTCACGTAATTGTATAGCTTTAGCTTCGCCTTCGGGTTGCCCGCGTATTGTGAAAGAATCACTCGTTGTACTTGTAGGCAGTCTGGATGCATGTACAAAGTAGTTTACAAAAGACCATACCGAACAAATCAGGAACAAAAGAACCAAAACCATGAATTTTCGTTTATACCGTTTTAAAGATACCATCATGAGGTTTAGTACTGTATAGCTGCTTTAACTGAACAACAAAAAGGAGACGTGCGAATTAACTTCATTAGTGAGCTTAATCACAGATTAAGAATATACCAGATGTCCTCAATTTTCCTAGATGAACATGTCATGCTCACGCCATGACACTTGCTAGCAAAATGGCGTCTTGAAAAACCATAATAGCCCAACAATCCTCTCTCGACCAAGCGACGTATCATGCAGTAGTATATACAATTTGGCAAGTTGGCAAGAAAATAGTGTTATGACTTGCCACGGGGGTATATTCATATATTCATGTTTACATACCTGCACCGTAAAAACAATCGCTTTCAAAAGAAATCCGTCGGGCGGAACACGTTCACGAATATATGCCCTGCTTAAACAAATAGAAAAATCAACATCTCTTGAACCGTTTCAGCTGAAATGCTGAAATGCCTCATTATCTATTGTTTGTAATGTATTCGGCACATATGTGAAGTACGACGTATGAAACGGGCCTATAGCTATGCTATATTCCTATAAAAATATCAACCCCTACTTGTAGGATAGTTTCACTAAATATGTACAACGTTTTTTGCCAACCAACCGAATTCATAAGACCAAAAAATACAAAAAGTTTCTTTGAATTTGCCGTGTGGCGTGTCTCGATTCGGGATGCCTGTTGTACGTGTTTTCAAACGGCCATTTTCGCATGGTTATACGCGATGCTATTGGTTATCAAAAACCCGATAAAACAGCTTAACGGGGAGGGGAGTTTACCATTTGTCTGCCAGCAAAAATGCTTTCGAGTTAGTTCGAATGAAAAAGATTACGGCAGTACTGCACGACTGCTGCATTTATAGCTTCATTATTAAGCCCCGTTTACACGAGCAAATTTTATTTGCCAAATTTCAATTGATCAAATGCATTTGATCAAAAGCTAGCATTCTAGCTTTTGTCACAATGAATTTGTCACTCAAATTTACCATCTACACGAGGAAAATATCTTTGACATACGAAATTTGTCAAATAAAATTTGCTCGTCAGTAAACGGGGCTTTAGTGTCGCCCGGAGATCTGTGGATTATTTGTCAAAATTTGCATGTTTGTTTAAGTAAAGAATAAAGTATCAAGCGGCGGCAAGGTTCGCAGTTTAATTAACTGCACTGCAGGCGGCTTTTCACCGAACATTATAGGCCGGTTTACACGACAAGCGTTTTGGGCACGGCACCCCTGAAAATGGGCACCGTGCCAAAACCGCCACTTCGCTATTTACTCGTTTACACGACAACATTTTGTAAACACACTTTTATGATAGGCATCGTGCCCATCGGAAAACGGCACCTCTACTTTCCGTTTACGACGGTATATTTTAAAGAATAAATATGTCGGACAGAAATAGAATTATATATTTATATTTATTGGAACGAAGAAGAGTATTATATGAGCCGAAAATCGAGGGAAAAAACCAATTCAATACTAGAAAAGTACTTTAAGGCTCATATGGGCAAAAGTTATCCCGGTTAGCGAGAAAACTTTTCGACAAATTTGCAAACGAGATCTTGCCTTGGTATGAAAATAATATGAAAAGTTACACTGCGTTCATATGAGACAAAAAGTTTTCCCGTGATACCGAGATCTGGCTTGTTGACAAGCCAGATCTCGGTGACCGGGATAATGTTTTTCCCATATGCATGAACACAACTTTACCGCTTAGCGGGATAACTTTCTGTCGTATCAGCATCTTTTCAATTCAATTGATATTCAGTGCGTGCCCATCGGAAAACGGCACCTCTATTTTCCGTTTACGACGGTATATTTTAAAGAATAAATATGCCGGCCAGAAATAGAATTGTATATTTATATTTATTGGAACGAAGAAGAAATTATATGAGCCGAAAATCGAGGGAAAAACCAATTCAATACTAGGAACGTACTTTAAGGGCCAGTTCATATGGGCAAAAGTTATCCTGGTTTAATAGGGAAAAAACTTTTCGAAAAGTTTACAAGCGAGATCTCGCCTTGGTATGAAAATAATATGAAAAGTTTGTTTACACTGCGTTCATATAAGACAAAACGTTTTCCCGTGTACGTGCCGAGATCTCGCTTGTCAAGTGATAATGTTTTCCCCATATGAACACAACTCTAGTTCCCGCTTGGCAGGATAGCTTTCTGTCGTGTCAGTACTGACTTTACAATTCAATTGATATTCAGTGCTATGTCACAGCCGGAAACTTTACCCGGTAAGCGGAATAACATTTCTCCATGCATGTGAACAGAACAAAAGTATATTTGGCTAGTCGAAAAGTTTTCTCGTTAACCGAAATAACCTTTGCCCATATGAACAGGTCCTTTAAGACGAAAGGAGTTGTTTTCTCGCATAAATGTTGTGCCATCTTGTATTCACCCGCCACGAATTCGAGAGGTATGGACGCATCGAACGACAGCTATTTGCTACGACCTAGTTACTGCTCTCTTCAGCGACGAACAGTGGTATCAAAATTTCCGAGTCAACTAGAGCAACATTCACATTCTGTGTTATTTAAATTTGTTTTTAACCTTTTTTTTTATTTTTGGCAAGTTGTAGTTTTTCGCCGCTTGCTGCAGCCATGTTGGAAAGAAGACAATTTGTTTTGCGCATGCTCGATGTCGAACACATTTTTTATTTTTATCGAAATTTGGGCACGGCACCCCTTGCTAGACGTGCCGAGACTACCTCGTGAGAAAGTCTCGGCACGTTTAAATTTTGCGGCACCGGTGCCGATTATTGTCACGTTTACACGCCAAAAGGCAGAGGTGCCGTGCCTAAAATTTTGGGCACGGGTGCCCATTTTTAGGGGTGCCGTGCCCAAAACACTGGTCGTGTAAACCGGCCTTATGAAGGCTATGAATCGACTTGCAAAAAAGCCGATCATCGAACAGATACTGCCATTACTGGTGAGTTTTCTGCATGTAGATTGTAGTTTAGCTCACTGCAGTATTGTCGTAATGAACTCATTTCAACAAAAATAGTTTTTTACTGTAATTTTGTATATGTATAGCGGGAATGTTTTTACAATATATTCAGGGGCGTAGGAAGCTTCGAAAAGTTGGGGGGCAGGTCTTGAAGGGCACTTTTCAGAAAAAAAGGGCATCTAAAAATTTTTTTGGACGACTTCCCCCCCTCCCCCCGTCGCCAAAAGAATTTCGGACAGTGTACCATTTTAGGGGTCCAAAAAAATTTTCCGGATATACCCTAAAAAATTTTCAGGATATTTCACATTTTTTTAAAAAATATGAGGAAAATTCTGCTGAAAACCCGAAAATTTGCCCCATATATTATATTTTTCCCGAAAATTCAAACATTTTTTCGGAAAAAACAGAGATTGGACTTTTCAAAAAGTGCTCATTCGGCAAAAAATGCACTTTTAATGATAATTTTTCAGGCAAAAAAGGGCACTTTGCTGCAGGAAAAAGGGCACTTGCCAAAACTTGGGGGGGGGGGGACTGGCCCTCCTCGCCTCCCCCGGTTCCTACGCCCCTGAATATATTAATTCGTTTGTTGAAGCGGTCTATTCAGGCGGGCAAGGCCGCTCGATTACCTGCGACTACTGTACATGAAAATAGAAGAAAACAGCGGGCCGGACGCCAAGACGTGAAAATAGCTGCTGCATGCTATGTTTTCTGCATGCGTTATAATATTGACTGGCTGCAGTTTTTCATGGTTATGGTCATTCAATAACGTACAGGTGTAAAACTATATATGAATTTGTTTTGAACAATATTGTCTATTGACTTTAGTATACTCGGTATTTATATACAGCCTACGTCACTACGCACATGACTAACGATTAAGTATATATGGTCAGTTAGTACTGACGTGTTTGTCAGACAGCAAAACAAGGTGATTTTGTACAAGGACGAAAATCCAATAAAATCGAATTGAAAATCAACCCATCCTTCAACGAAACAACGTAAAATTAATAAAAAAAAACATAACTGTAAGTATTTGACTAATTTTTAAGCCATTTCTTCTTACTAGGTGATAATTTCTTTTCACTTTCAGTAGGGAATTGGAAAACTAAGCACAAATTCGCATCGAGGAAGGCCTCGATCAAGGCAACAACAGTGTGTGAACGATAGCCAAACTGGCAATTCTAGCACAAAGGAAGCACTGTTCAATATTAACGAAAATATGGCGAAAATAGCAGAACTGCTAGAGAATATATATAATCGACCGCGTGGCGAAGATCGTGATCGCTCACCCGCGGGCAGTAAGGGACCGGTCATTATTTTTGGCGGAGGTGGCACCGAAGAGAAAGGGTTCATGAGTGAACAAAATGTTGAGTATAAGTAAAAGGTTGGGTAAAACAAAACAATTTAAGGGTGGGTTATGAAAATTTATTGACGTTTTCAAACTAAAGCATGACTCACTG